AGTCACAAAATGGTAGGCTACAGTGTTGGCCTCATGATTTCTTGTTGGTATGGCCCATGAAAATTTTGTCAAATCATCTTGTAGTGTGATGATAAAGACATTGTTACGACTTGATTTAGTAAGAGGACCAACGATATCTAGAAAACTTTTTTCAAACGCTCTTGATGATGTAGAAGTTATTACCATTGGTTCCTTGACTGATTTATTTGACACCTTGGTCAATTGACACGTAGGACAAGTCTTGATATACTCTTCTACTTGTTTTCTCATGCCTGTCCAACGGTATTCGATTCTGAGTTTATTAAGAGTCCGTTCTACTCCTTGATGACCTGAGAGAGGAGTATCGTGGANCGATGACCTGAGAGAGGAGAATCGTGGAAATCTTTAATGAGTCTGAGTTTTTCCTCAAGTGTTAGGTGATCTTTACTAAACACTTTGATAGCAATATTGGATTNAATCATGGAAATCTTTAATGAGTCTGAGTTTTTCCTCAAGTGTTAGGTGATCTTTACTAAACACTTTGATAGCAATATTGGATTCTCTAAAAATGAATCTTAACATAGATTTAACTTGATTCCAATTGAGTTGATCTAACCCGCATCCTATTTTTGGCATAGCGATTTTGGTTAGATTATTTTCTTGACAAAAGGTTTTTAGATTCGTTAGAGTCTTAAACAAGATTTCGTAACTAAGTTTCTCAAAATAGTTAGCTTTTGTAATAAGATATAGAATGTATTTCTCATTGTGGACTAAATGCGCAATTTCTGTCACATTTTTCCTTTGTTTTAGAAGTTCTTCTATTTGTCCAAATTTTCTTCTGAATTGGAGAGCGACTCCTTTTTTCATATAGAAATCTTGGGATACGCTATTGGCTAAATGCCAATCGTTGTTTTCTTTGAAGAGATCTCCGACAATTTCTTGAACATTCGATGTAGTAGATATCGATTCCTCTCTGGCCTGTAAGAAGTTGGTATAGGTTTGCTCGAGCTGTTGTTTTTCTGTCATGCTAGAGGTGGATGTCGACGAAGACGGTGTATTGGAGTGTTCAGAGTAATTTTCAGAGTCTAATAGTGAGTTAGCAGGATCCTGTGATGTAGAATGATTTTGTGATATAGAAATTTGTTCCTTTGACTGAGCCCGGGTTGNTATTTTGTGATATTTGTTCCTTTGACTGAGCCCGGGTTGTAACGTGTATACGGCTAAGCGCATCAGCGTTAGTATTATGGCAACCTGGCTTGTACTGAATTTCATATTCATATTCTTCTAATTTAAGTCTCCATCTCGTTAGCCTCGAGCCTGGGTCCTTTATATTGAATAACCATACAAGAGCTCGGTGGTCTGTTACCACATTGAACTTTTGTCCAAAAAGATAGGGGCGGAACTGCTTAATATCCCATATGATGGAACACAACTCTTTTTCGGTTGTATTATAATTTTGTTCGGCTCGATTCAGAGTTCTAGATGCGTACGCGATTGGTAAATCCTTGCCGATAGGACCTTGAGATAGAACACAACCTATTGCAACATTGCTTGCGTCACAAGTTAGGTTAAATGGTTGGCTAAAATCTGGATATTGAAGTAGAGGTTCTTGAGTTAGAACAGTTTTTAATTTTTCAAATGATTCTTGACATTGATCTGACCAGTGGAATGAGACTTCTTTCTTTAAAAGATTCGTGAGTGGCTTTGCGATTGTGCCATAGTTTGGTACAAAACGCCTGTAATAGCCTGAAAGACCAAGAAACGATTTTACCTCTTTGGCGTTTCTAGGAATTGGGAACTCTAGAACACATTTGATTTTGAGTGGATCAGGTTTAACACCTTTGTCTGTTATAACATGACCCAAGTAGTGTACTTCTTTTCGCATAAATGAACACTTAGAAGGTTGTAGTTTTAGGTTGAAACTCCGAAGTCGATTAAATACATCCTTTAATTTGTTCTCGTGATCTTGTATAGAAGATGCATAGACTATTATGTCATCCAAATAAACGAATGCTTTTAGACCGGTTAGGCCACTTAATACAGAGTTCATAAGACGTTGAAATGTAGCAGGTGCACCTTTGAGACCGAAAGGAACTCGAAGGAACTCAAAGTGACCCTGATCTGTACTAAATGCAGTTTTTTCACGGTGATCTGGGTGCATTTCTACTTGATGATAGCCTTGCGCGAGATCCAGAGTTGAATAGTACGAGGATTTTCCTAATTGATCTAGAATGTCAGCTATATTAGGAATAGGATATGCATCGCCTGCAGAAACTTGATTTAATTTTCTGAAATCAACGCAGACACGATATTTCACAACACCATTACTGTCCGGTTTCTTTGGTACAACTAATAGTGGTGCATTCCATGGACTTTTGCTGGGAGCAACAATATTTTGTTCTTCTAGTTCTTTAATTTGTTTATTAATCTCCTGTTTGTGATGGAAAGGCAAACGGTATGGACGTTCATTGATGGGCTGTACGATTGAGGGCGTATTTATTTCGTGATAAATCGCGTCCGTGCACGTCAGTCTGTCTCCATCTAAATGAAAAATGTCGGAGTACTCACGGCATATAGTGTCGACCGAAGCTTTTTCCTCAGGATTTAAGTGGTCAGTTTGAATAGAATTCTTAAGTAGCCTTAGTCGTTGGCTGCTCGCGGGAGGACTGTTATCAGAAATAGTATTAGAATTTGAATTTGCAATACAACATGACTTTGGTTCGGTCCATATGTCGAACGAAAGTTGAGACAAAGCGAGATCTGGTGGAAGTAGAATTGAACGTTCAGATGTGTTGATAACAGGTATTAAAATTTCGTGGTTCTTTACTGTTGTCAGTACATTACCACACAATAAGTTTTCATATAAGTTTTGAGAATGAATGACTAACGCTGTGGCCTCAGCGATATCACATGCAGAAATAGAAATAAGAGATTCAGAGCGTGGAGATATTTCACATATTTTATTCATGTGCATAATTATCTCACTGTTTCGAAAATCGACTGAAAATTGATTTACTTGTAAAAAGGGTCTTCCCAAAATACCTTCACATTTTATAGGGAAATTCGGATGGACAATATGGAATTCAGAATTTATTACATGATTTTCTATTTGAATACTTAGTATGACTTTACCAAGTGTCGAAATAGTATGATCGGTTATACCAGTGAGACTGAAACATTCGTTCTCCTTTACTGGTACTTCAGGATTTAGAAAATTTAATTTGATAAGGTTTAGATCACTACCTGTGTCTAAAAGAAGATGTAGAAGATTCGGAGTAGTTTGCTTACATAGAATTTGCACATGACCATTTTCTAACTTGGCAGTGCATTTGTAGATTCGTTTAATTGTATTATGGCGGCTTGAAGCTTTCCGGCCGAATTTACGCCTTGGTCCGGACGGTTCCTGTTTTCCTGTTTACGTCGATTTGTGTTTGAGTATCTTCTTTTGATACATTCTTCTAAAATGTGACCCTCGTTTTTACAATATCTGCAGATTTTTTCTGCGGAAGCAGAGTTTTGAACAATGGGTCTGTGTATTTTAGCGTTATTTGTGTTATTAGTGGATGTAGAATTGTTATTACGACAGAATTTAGCAAAATGTCCCTTTTGACCACATAAATGACAGCTTGTACTGGAAGTAGAATTTTGTGATNTAGCTTGTGCTGGAAGTAGAATTTTGTGATGTAGAATATTGTGAATTAGAATTTTTTAGTGGTCTATCTTTCAAATATTGTTTTGCTCCTATATTTGAAAGTCTTATCCTTTCTTCTTCTTTGGCTGCTTGAATAGCTTTTTCAAGAGTTGAAGGATTCCGTGCTTTTATAAAGTCTTTCAAGTTTCCGAGTCCTTCCATAAACACTTGGATTACTTGGTTATTAATCGTTTGTTCTATCGCTTTGGCTACCTCTGGATGTTTGTCTGACGTCTCCTGTTCGATTATTTGATTTTGTAGCTTTTCAATTTTCATTGAATATGATAGTATGTCCTCATTTGGCAATTGCTTTGTAGCATATAGCTCCAAATAAAGGTGTGGGGTTGTTCTCTGAGGCTCTAAATTCGATTTCAAAGTATCTCTAAGATCATCCCATGATTCAAAGCTTTTGTATTTTGTGACCTGCCTTGCTTTACCAGACAGTCGAGTTTGAATTGCTCGTAGTAGCCGTGGAATGGCCACCGGTACTACACATTCTACTGCAAATTCACATTTTTCCAAAAAGATTTCCAATTGCTCCACATCTCTTCCATCAAAAGAATTAGGAAGCAACCTTATAGCGTCTTGTAACCCTATTTGCGTGTTTGAAGGAGGTGGATGATGTAGATTGGCGTTGAAAGAGTTAGAATTATTTTGAAAGTATTGTTCCATATATTGATCAATGAGCACTTTTACTTCACTCATTGGTATTTTCACCTCTTCTGCTTTCTTCATTCTATTGCTATTTGACTCGTTTGTTTTACTACCACAGGGCATATTGTCTTCTTCTGCCATTAAAGACAAATAGTCTTGATGGAGTAGCAAGTTAGTAGGTGGGTAAACACTAGCTTTTATTTTTTCAGGTCCCCACTTGGTTTCTGAATCGTGCAAGGCGTTCGTTAGGTTTACCTTCGTGAGAGTTTGACTTGTACCTGCTGTTTTGACTTCTGGGGTGTAATTTGTCGCTAACGTATACCAACACGTAGTTGGTGTTGTGGATGTAGAAACGATAGTCGAAGTGGAAGGTGGTGCTGTTGCACAATTTAATGTTGACGTAGAAGTTGACGCTGATGTAGAAGTGGACGCTGACGTAGAAGTGGACGTTGAAGTAGAAGTTGATGTGGACGTTGAAATGGACGCAGATGTAGAAATAGACGTGGACGTAGAAGTAGACGCAGACATAGAAATAGACATGAACGTGTTAGAATTGGTAGTCGATGTAGGAGTAATAGGATTATAGGAGTTGCATTTAATAGAAGTCTGAATAGAATTTGTTTGAGTGTTTGAACTTAATAATTCGTCTAATAAAGAATTGGAATGGTTTAGAAGGCTGTCCGTACTACCTATAGCACGAATAGATTTATTCAAAATATCTTTACTATTATCTAAATCTCTCGGTACACTAGTACTACGTCGAGATACTTTTGACTTTGAACGAAGAGAACGAGTAGCTGGAATAGGAATTAGGATGGATTTAGAATGAGTCGATGGCTTATAATCGCTATCACTTGAACAACTATTACTTGATTCACTCATTTATCATGCATGAGTTGGAGTCTCAAAAAAATTTTTTTTTTTTCCAATAAAGCACTTTAAATGAGTTCTGCACTATCTAGCAATGAGCGAGTAAGCGAGTGGTACAATTCTTACCATTTACTAGAGATAGTAAAAATTAAATTAAAAAAATTTTTTTTTTTAATTGGTATAAATTAGAATATTCTATAAAAATTCGTATCTTTTTTTTTTTCAAAAAAAATTTTGATCCCACTAAATATTATAGTATTTAAAAAATATTGAAATTGAAAAAAATAGAAATTGAAATATTTAATCGAGATAGAAAAATAATATATTTTAATTATTTTTGAACTAATTCAAATTTAAATTGTCTCTCTTTTTAATTAAATTATTTTAATAATAAACAATCTTTTGATTTAGAATTAAATTTACTAAAAATAAATTTATTTGGTACTACTATTTAAATTAAAATAAATCAATCGCAAAGCATGTATAGGATTTAAAAAACTTACATTATGATGACAAATATCATTTTGAAATATTTCATTTTTAACAATTGATTCTTGATTGAAATGGAATTGAATTATTTGGACCAGTGTAGTTGAATTGAACTTGATATGGAATGGCTTGACTCAAATTGAATTGAACGGCTTGTAAGGAATTTGAAAAATTTATCTTGAACGACGTTGATGATTAGAATAGTTTCACTTCTTGATTTTGTAGAAATTTGATTGTATTTGAATGTATTGATTGTATTATTTTTTATTAAAACATTGATTGCGACGATGTAGAAATTCAAAATTGTTTAATTATTTTGACGGTCACTTTATAATTGTTGTTATGTTTTCCACGATATCTGGTGGTCGTGTTATATCACGGCGGCGGCACAGTCAAGTTATCGTCCGCTAGACCGCGACGGTGTACATAACGGAGTATTGATAAACACGGCGGCGGCGTCGAACCGGTTGAAACAGTGTTGCCACACGAAATAGAATTATGTAGTGAGGTTAAGCCCTATCTACCAAGGACGCTTCCACGCGGTTTAATGAATGTATGTTTTCTTACCAAAAAATTTTTTTTTCCTTTTTAGTTTTTGAAAGGCCCTCGAAGACGTTTCCGCTCTATTACCGCTGCCACCAAATATGTTGTGCGGGCCCACGTGGTAAAAGGAATTAAACTTAATGAGAAAAAGAAAACACTCACTTTTCAATAAAACTTTAGAATATATAATTTGATTGACACAATTAATAATACAATACACGTTATTTATTAATATTAATACAAATGAATAGAATAATAAAATATAATGACATAGAATGAT